CAATGACCCGTCCCCCTCACGGCTAGGAAGGATCAAAATGTCCCCATCACCGGTATGGTTGCCAGGGCCCATATGAATCTCTTCTCCCCACCCAAAATCCAGTCCATGCAGGGGTAGACTCATCCAACTTATCACATTAAGGTTTGGGTTCCCACTAAATGGTAGTTCTTCCTTTCGTCCACGAGTCACCCCTTTCAGGAAACTTATTGCAGAAGTCACGCATTCCGGTGTGACATTGTCAATGGTCTCGTGTATCATACGTGCCACCTGCCCTAATGGCATTGAAATGACCTCCCCTGAGACTCCATGGGTCACAACATCAATGACTGCATTGCCAAAATATGAATTGTGCAATGGTGGATCCATCCGTTTTCGAATATCGACCGACATGGTTAGGTTAGTTGGTTGGTCCGCTTTATGGTTGCGTGCCATGCATGCACACTTCCAAATGTGGGCGGTGATCACCTCGTATCTAGTGTAGTTTGCTCCACCAACTTTTTTTAGTGTTTCAATTTGAGGTTTGCTCAATCTTAAGACACACTCTTTAGTTTCCTTCTTCTTCTCATTCTCATTGCTTGATTCACCGATGATGAGAGGAGGGCCGCCAAAGTTGTAGTAACTGTAGTAGTAGCAATGTTCCAAAACAGCCATATGGTGGATGAGAGGATCTTTGTGGGCCTGATGTAATACTTCTCGGTCAATAAAAGGGACAACACTAAGTGGTTTGCCACGTGCAAGTCGAGCCCATTGGTGGAGAAAGTTGGAGGTGCCTAGACCATCACTCACAACATGTGATATTGCCAAACCAAGGCTCCATCCTCCACATCTGAATTTGGTGAGCTGCCCAATGAACAAGGGCATTTTTTGAATGGGAGGAGCTGTGTAGTAGTCGGCACTAGGAACCAGTTGATCAAAATCTGGTTGTGGATAGAAATCCCCGAGTTCGGATAGTACGCCGTCAGATTCTGCCTCAATGAGGATGACTCCCTCAGAGTTGCAGTCGAGCACAAGATGACAACCTGTAGTCGTGTTGTTGTTGGTTGTCCAATTCAACCGACCAGCCATCGGGTAGAAGTGGACTAACACTTGACTGAGAGACGATTTTAAGGTTTCCATGAGGGATTCTGGTGGCTGTGGAGATGTGGCGTAGAAGTAGATGGTGGGGACATGCATCATGGTTCCTGTTTGATCAAGTTCGGATAATTCAAGAATGCCATTCCATGTTGGCTCTGATGGTTTCACAATAACGTTTGAACTCTTTACGCACACCTTCATAATTTCTATGCATATAATAATAATAGCAGAATGTTTTGTTTGGGATGTTTGTTTTTTGTGTACGTGTATTTATAGGTTTAGCATCTAATATTAGCTAGCTAGTGAATTCTGTTTGTTGTGACCACGTTTTGTGGGAATGTGTTGAAACACAATTCATGTGAATTGAGCCGTGTTCGTAAGGAGAAGATGTATATAAATTTAACTCAACAAGATTTATTGTGCTTCAAATAGGTAAGAATAAAATGCATTAAGTTTAAAACTTATACTCCCTCCGTCCCTCCCTTTTTATTTAGCCAGATACTATATTTTTTTATTTTTTTTCAAGTCAATGAAGTTCCACTTTGACTGATTATATATTTATACACGGTAATATTCATAATATGAAAATGATATGAAAATGTTTTTTGTAAAAGTATTATTATAAAAGTATAAATTTATTAAGTTTCACATAAATATATTAGTTAAAATAATGGATCAAAGATTATCATCTTTGACTTTCAAGTCAAAAATGGCTAAATAAAAAGAGATGGAGGTAGTAGAATTTAAAAGTCAACAATTTAAAAATAGAAAAATGTGATGACAATGTTTAAAATAAAGTTAACTTTTTATGACATCACACGAGTGTGCTATTTAAAACATCAAAGGAGGATATATTAAAATGAGATTAAATGGCTCTAAAAATGGCACAAATTAAACACAATTGATGAAAAACGCATTGATAATTGTATTTTTATATTAAAATGAATTTTATGTACAAACAAAAGTGCGTTATTTGAACATAAAATTAAGGTGAAATGACCACCAATAATCTCTACTATTTCACATTTTATAAAAATATTCTCCGATACTGGATTTGTTCACAACAATAATCTAACTAATTAATTGCTTCACAAAAATAAAATGAAAATTAATGGTTGGCCTTGAGAGCTGCCTCGTAAATCTAAATCTAATTAATTATCGCTTATTTTTACCTTAATTGGATAGTATCATAACAGAAAGGCTCAAATCAAAACATATCTGACCAGATAGAAAAAAGTTCGTATTTTCTTCATGTTTTAAAATCCATCTAGTATAATTTTATATAATTAAGAATACTAATAAAACTAATGTGATTGTCTGATTTTTTTAAAGCAATCACATGTTAATTTATTAAAATAGAATGTGGGTTAAATGAAGTTATTGACCTCATGCTTTGCAGAAGTTGAAGAGTTTCAGTAACCATACAAATTAATTCATTATATTTTTATCTGTTTATAAATCGAAAAGGCCCAAGGATCGGCTCTCTTCTCATCGTAGTGGAGCCTCTTCTCGGTATATGAGCTTCTCTCTGTTGCAAGTTGTCCACAATTCGGGAAGAATTTAAAGACCGAACAAGTTTCGAAGCTATTGAAAACATGGCTTACATTCACGGTGACGGTGGTCCTAGCAAGTCTAGGTTTTCGGCGGGCGGCGCTATAGCTTTCTTGGTGCTTCAGTGTCCCGGAGTTTTGATAGTTTTCTCATCTGGAGCACAGGGTGGAGCGCGGGAGCACTCAGATTTGGAGGATCTTGGCGAATCTCCATCGCAGCTCAAGGGAGATGATAGAGATCTGGAGAATGTTCGTGTTTGGACTGGTTGTGCTCGTGCGGTATGCTGGCCAAGAGATGGAGGCGGCTCACAGGCAGATCGTGGTGTTGAAGGAAGAAGATGAAGGAATGAAGATCCGTCCCCCTCCTGAACCGCCGCCATGGAGGATGACGCTTGAAGTATGGATTCAGTTGCTCCATAAGTTTATTTTATTTAAACATGTTTTACTCTTTGAGTTGTTTAATTATGAACCATGTTGTTATTGTTATTTCAAACACTAAGGGGCTAGGGTTTTTGCTTGTTTTATTTCATTAGATAGGTTTCTGTTGGGAGGCAATCAGGCTAACTCAGCCGCTAATAGTCTCTTTGCTCTCACCGTTTCAGCGATTAGTCTCGCTCTATCCGGGGTGGACTATTCTATGTCTCATCATGACGTAAGGGGCCGATGTGCTTTAGGTTTTGTTTGGAGAGAGTGAAATGTAGGTCTTGGGACATGCTGTTTACTTGGTTCGTTTGATTTTAATATAAGCTATTTCCTTTCAAAAAAAATTCGAAAAGGCCCATGCTATTTATATTTTTTTTATTATTTTTGTAAGAAAAATGAAGTAAATGGAGTTATAAGTCACGACATAAGTAAGTTTTAAAGTAAGTGTAGAATTTTGCAGCATCACCTTCGATTTCAAAAACCCTTAAATAATGTGTTCAACTATTTTTTTTATCAAAAGTATCATAAATTGCATGAATTTCTAAAGTGTTGAGTGTCGGTATTTTATGTTTGGAATCTTGAGTTGATGCGAGAGCCCACTCATCAATTCAATGATTCCAACGTAACAGTGAATATCTGTGGTCAAACACGGCTGTAATATACGGATATGAATAATGATCATGTTATTCAAAAGTATGTGATCTTCAAGTTCGAAATGTACAAAAAACATGAGTTTTAAAGCGTGCTTAATGTTTTTTTTTATCAAAATCAGACAATAATTTTTTGAGTGATATATATAAGTTTGTTATTTAGTTGTTTCCTCAAAAGTGTCTTGTTGAAGAAAGTTTGAGTTTTAAAATACGGCAAATAACTTTTATCTTCAGAATATTCTCAACCTTTTAAAATTTAAATGAGATTCATAAAGTGCTGTATGAGGATTTCAATAGAATAAAGAATATGTAATCTCAAGCTCTTTCATTATCAAGCTTCAACCGCTCAAAGGCTTACTATGCGATTTTTGATCGAGTAAAATATAATGGGTGAAGTCCTAAAACAAACGCGTTCATACAAAACAAGTCTATTTAGATCCACTGTTAAAGTTTTAAATAAATACCTCCTTCAAATTTATACACTAAGAATCAATAGACAAAAGGACATGATGTCTTTCTATCCACTATACTACCCCAAGCTATTCTTTTTTAATTGTTTCATTAACCATATTGTCGTTCTAAATTTACCTCTAAAATAGGTTTAAAAAGCTATGCAACTTCAAAATGAATGAGTTTTTGTCTCTATAATCTCCAATTTATCAATTAATTTTTTATAGCGGATTTTTTTTTGATAAATAAGCTAAAAGTCGTTGTCGAGTTGGATATATAAAGTAAAATATTAAGAACACTTTACGTTGATTGAAGAATAACCGACGAAAACTTTTGTACGAGACAAAGGTAATACCGCATAATATCATTGAATATATAACAAAAGTGCTTACCCTAAGTATTATAGTTATTTGATTATTATGAAAAATGCTCCCATTTTTTTAGCTTTGTGTTATTATTAGTTTTATAGTAAGGGGTTAATTTGAAATTAGTGTACTTATAGCTTTTAACATGACAATTGAGTCTATTTTTAATTCAAGAACTAATGATCAAGTTATGTTTTTATCTCATCTTCAATGATTGAGTATAATCATTTATCATAAAAAGATATTATGTAATCCACAAAATTATATGAGGTGCATAGATTCTCCTCCTCTAATAATTACTAACCTAATTAACGAAGTATAATAATCAGTATATGTCTATACGATTACACTACTACACTCTTGTATACAGACAATAGCAGCGTATTACAATCATTCCTGGTATATACATTTAACGCACATGTCATGTCATTTCATTCTTTGTCACGTGTTTGGCTTCATACAATCATACGATCAGAATGCTCTTACAGGTCACCACTGTCAAATTCTCGAGAGTCTTGAATAGCCGGACTACACATTTTCAGGATTACACTCCGAATCTGTATGTACTCCTCCTCCTACTACGAATCATATAGAGCGGAGGTCTTTTGAGTAGATTACCTGCTCAATTCCGGAATGGAGTTGCTTTGCTCCCCTTCAATCTCAGCTAACGCTCCGAAACTCCCCTCCAGAGGCCCAAGCATGGACAAAACTGGATTGACATCCCGGAGTTCGCATCTTTACTTTGCCGGACTTGGAAGAAAGGTGAAGCCTTTACTAGTTGCTGTTAATGGGGTCATCGATGGAGGGGGTGAGTCAGAAACGGCCGTTGTGGTGGAGAAACCTCCGCCGTACGAACTACGTCGTCCTTACGAGCTTTTCGTAGGGCATCCGACTCCTTACGGCGCCACTGCTAGAGACGGCGGGATCAATTTCGCTATCCATTCGTGCAATGCTACGTCAGCAGCTCTCTGTTTGATTAGTGTAGCCGACTTACCCGAGGTGCCTGTTTCTGAATCTTATGCGTTTTCAATATATGCTTCGTTTGGAACTCAAAACACACACGAAAATACCAGAACGAAAGAAAAAAAGATAAGTTCAATTTCGATAAATTAAATTTTATTAAATTCATCAATGGAAAAGTTTCATAACAATAACTTAGCAACAACCCATAGGAAAAAAGTACTAATTTTTTAGTTTTGGACCAAAAAAATACTAACAGTCAACCTGCAATGTTGATCAATGCAGTTATGAACAGGCAATTGGCCAATGAGTCTTGTCCAAAATTTTATACTCCATAGTTAACGTTTATGTCCAATTAATATGTAATTAGTTCGAGTCATATTCATGGTACAGATCTCTTCATACATTTGTAGTGACCATTTTTTATATATAATTTTTTATATAAAGATTAAGAAATCAAATAATGTAAAAATATATAGAATAGTTTATTTAGATATACTCTTTCGTGTTTTTAAAAGAAATATACTAAAACCAAAGAAACAAAGAATGAAATTTCTTGATATTTTTTTCACCTAATACTTTTCATTTTTTCAAATTCCAAACATAGCCTTGGTCAGTAACTTGGAAAATGTTATGGGAAAAACAAAATAGATAGGAAATAGGGAGTAAAATCGCAACTTTGCAAAAATAAATTTAAAGAAATTTTTAAAAGAACACGTACAAAGTCAATAAATCAGTGCATGTTACTACATACTCATTTTAAGTATTTATTATGAAACTTTTAAGGAACTTATTATGTATCATAATTGATTTTTTCCCTATTTCCTAACACTTTCTTTATTTACTTAACATTTCCTGGGTTCCAAACATGGCCTGAGATTTTCCAGATACAATGAAGGAGCCCTTTCCTTCCATGAAAATAATTACTCCCTCCGTCCCTGAAAATACTCCCAACTTTCCCTTTTCGTCCGTCCCAAAAAGAACTTCTCTTTCCTTTTTTGGCAAAGAATTTGTGGTTCACAGCATTTCTCTCTCCTCTGCACAACTCTCCACCACACAATTCTCACTTTCTTAATCCGCGTGCCACTTTATTTTGGAAGTAAATTATGGGACGGAGGTAGTAGAAAATAAGGGAAAATGATGTTTTTTTCATCACCGAAAGGATACATGAGGTCTGAATTGACTTGTATTGAGTTAAATTGCCCTCCTACTGAGTAGGCTTATGATTCCAAATTGTTTTTTAGCCTTAAATTCATGTGGCCTTCTTTTCAAACTGTGCTTCAGTAATTGCTTATTTTCTGCTGCAGAAAAAGGTGTCAGAGCAAATTTCTCTGGATCCCTCTGTTAACAAGACTGGAGATGTCTGGCATGTGTTCATTAAAGGAGACTTTGATAACATGCTATATGCGTACTGCCTTGATGGCAAGTTTTCTCCTGCAGAAGGGCATCGCTTTGATTCAGCTAAGATACTGTTAGATCCTTACGCAAAGGTTCATAGCTGTAAAACTTCCTAAATCAGAAATGTTCTTTGCTTACATTATTTTCTTGATATACCGTTTTTCACAGACATGCTGGGTTTGCTACTAATTTCTATATAGGCTATTGTAAGCAGAGCAGAGTTTGGCGCTTTGGGACCTGAGAAGGACTGTTGGCCCCCAATGGCCTGCATGCTGCCTTCTACTGATAAGGTGCTGTGATTCAATAGGTTGTATTGCAATATTGATATTCCTAGTCCTTATTATCATATGTACTTCAATGGTAAGACTGAGAATAGAGCTTCTATTGAGCCTAAAACACAATAATGAATGATGAATTTGGATTCTCATCCTTTTTTGATTTGGGCTTTTCTTGATTTATTTATTCGTAAATAAGGAAAAAGGAGATAATGCTGAGGACTTCTGCATCTTATTTCTCGTGAGTTTGATAAATAAGTATGTAATGTAAGGGCTGTTTATTTCAAGTAACTACTAGCAAACTTGACTTTAGAGACCAAAAAACAGGGACATGAAGGGTTAGAGACCAGAAATACAAACATTGAGGCTTAATAAAATGCAAGTGGCTCGACAAATATGAAACTTCAAAGGTTTTGTGTAAAGGGCTGTAAATTGTTGCTACACGACTTTTATGTCAGCAGTGATATTTCTAGCTTAATTTTCTCTGATGCCCCTATCCTTTGGTCTTTGTTATTCCCTCATGCATTTTTCCTTTTGTCTTTTCCTTAACTTAGTTTTGCTTTGCCACTAACGCTATGGCTCCTGTGGCCGAATATTGAATCAAAGGTAAATGACCTTAGAATCGGAGGTCGGTTTGTAACCCTAAAGTAGACATGCTATCAAGTCATGTGTATTTCAGAATCTCACATTCATACATCCCCTCAAGTTGGAGTATATATATAATATACTCTGTATTACTCTCCTGTACAGCCTATATGTCATTTAGTAAGATATGATAATTTGCAAAATAATTGACACTAATAGGATTTTGGTCAATCTCTCCAAATTACCCTATAGTTAGATGACAACACTTATGATTCATTTTCCCATTCAGCACCGGGATTCAACTATTAGTAATCAGAGTACTACTATCAGACATCTGGCTCTACAGTAAAGACTAGTTTTACTGGGAATGTAAAGAGAACAAACATTGATTAAGGTTATGTTAGTTACTCCCTCCATTCCACAGAACTTTTCCCAGTGACTGGCACAAAGTTTAAGAAAATGAAGGCTGTATGGCATATACTCATTTAAAAGAGAGGGAAACAATATGAACCCCATTTGTTTCTCTTAAAAGGAAATGAGAAACTTTTCAGGATGAACAAAGAGGAAATGAGAAAGTTTTCAAATAACCTGATTATGTGTTCATTTTAATGCATCCGTGTTTTTGAAAATGTTCAGTTTGGTTAAGGTATGGTTTTTTAACTTTAGTAAGACGTAACAATAATTTTAAATCATTACACATATGTTAATTTTTTGTGCTCATTTATTAGTTCCTAAATGTATCATATGTAATATGTATGTGACTAATTTGTGGCAAATTGCAAAATTAGCTTCGTCTCATCAAATGTGACTTTTTTGGGAGAAAAAGTATTTGAAACATGGCTCTTTTTTCACAGAATCATATGACGATTCCGTACACTATGATACTTCATAAGAAAGACGTTTTAGTGTATATGCAAACATTCAGTAACACTAAAGCAAAACTCAGAAACAGAATCTATATAATCAGTAATTACCACAATCTAGAGTGGATTAACACTTAGTTGAGTTGTATCTCGTTTTGGCATTCATCCATACTTTTGTACCTTGATAACAACTTTTGCTGATCCAATTTATAATATATAAATCTGATAGCATGGTGATGCTTTATCTGGGGCTTATTCGCGCAACTCTGCAAGATGAGTTGAGTGGCTCCGTAGAGTCTGTATTTTTTTCCATTGTGTTGCTAGCAAGGTGCGGCTGGGTAAGGTTTTCTGCTGCTGGGGTTGCTGGGGCATGTTTGACTTTACTAAAGAGGTTGAGTTCGAAGCACTATTATGTTGTTATATTACTTGTATACCTGTAGTTTATCAGCCTGCTACTGATAGTTTTTCTCTGGTCTTATGTTATTCCAGAAACAAATACTTTACATTCTTGTTAGGTGCCATTCATATAGCAGTTGCTTAGTTGTTTCTGATCACACCATTATTGAGGATGTTATCAACTTATGCTGGAGCTTGGTCACTTATGTCTGATCACCCTCTTATCATATTTTTTTCCCCTTTGATTTGGTTTAGTTTGACTGGGAAGGAGATCTGCCATTAAAGTTTCCACAGAGAGATCTTGTAATTTATGAAATGCACGTTCGTGGGTTTACAAAGCATGAGTCAAGTGGAACAGAATTTCCTGGTACATACCTTGGTGTCGTGGAGAAGCTGGATCACTTGAAGGTACATATTTGATAATCTTAATATAATTAACTTCATATTCTAGGGGGTCATGGATAGGCAAATTAATTCCTCTGACATGACTTTTCGATCTAATGCAGTGATAAGGAAAAAATGGAATCTGGGGTTGCGGGGGATCAAGGATGGATAGATAGTTACATTTGACTAACAATCCCGTGCTCGGGTTGGATAGTTAGGATAGGAAATCTAGGATTACAATTCATTAATTACCAAAGCCTCATGGTGTGGGTGACTTGAAGTTTCTTTTATGTAGAGGGAGGGAGATCAGTCTACTCTGAACCTTGGTTGTGAGTCTTGTGACTTATGAGGAGGTTATATGTTTACAGGAACAATCTTATTGCCATTCAACTATCCACCATTTTGCATTCTATAACTCAGATGAGAAATAAAGAGGGAATAGTGCCATTTCGATCTTATGTTGGAAATAGCATTTAAAGCATATGCCTTTTTATATTCCAGACTTTCCAGCAGCTTAACTTTTCATTTTCCTTTATGACTTTCAGTTTTCTTTTGTCCTTTAATGTATCATTTACTTCCCTATATATATGGGAGTCATAATGTATGATCTAATATGAGTAATACAAAAAGCTTCTCTTCCTAAATCAACATGGTATCAGAGCCCTGGGTATGGTCTGAAATTCCTTCTGCACGTGGAGGGGACTTTGAGCATATTTTCTGGTGAATCAATCTTCAAGGTGTTCGTCCCTCTCCAGCGAATTCCGGCGGTGAATAATTTCAGTAATTTTAATTTTTTCATCATGGTCGTAACAAGCAGTAGTGAAGAAACTCTTGTTCCCGTTTACGTCCCAAATCTTCACGGAAGAGGAGGAGGCCGTGGCAGAGGTATGCAACGTTTTTGTGATTATTGCAACAAGCCAGGACACACATGTGATCAATGTTGGAACCTACATGGGAAACCAGGTACGGTCAATGTAGCTGAAGTCAATAAGGAAGCTAAATGTTCCCATGTTCTCTCACAGTCTGAGTATGAAGATATCCAGCATTTAAAGGTTGCTCGAACCTCAATTACACCTGACAAAACTCATGTTTCCTTGGCCTCTCAGTCCAATCCTACTTGGATTTTTGACTCAGGTGCTACCGATCACATTTCTGGTAATCCTTCACTTTTTACATGCTTGACATTTTCCAATTCTCTTCCATCTGTTACCTTTGGTGATGGGTCAATTGGTAAAGCTATAGGAATTGGAAATGCCTCTCCACTCCCTTCTCTCTCATTATCCTCTGTATTGTATATTCCTAATTGCCCCTTCAACTTGATCTCTGTCCATAAACTCACTTCACATCTTAATTGTGAAATTATATTTTCCAATAAATCTGTGACTGTGCAGGACCGACAATTGAGGAAGACGATTGGCACAAGATATGAATCACAAGGGTTATATCATCTAGCCAACACTAATATTGTTTGCACTGCCACCACTACCACACCATTGCTTCTTCATAGTCGATTTGGTCATCCTAGCCTAAATAAGCTTCGTCAACTTATTCCTACAATGTCTAATGTTTCATCAATCGAGTGTGAGTCATGTCAGTTAGGAAAGCAATCTAAAGCTTCCTACAAAAATAGGATAAATAAACGAGCAGTTGCTCCCTTTTCTCTAATTCATACTGATGTATGGGGACCGAGTCGAGTTAAGTCTATCTTTGGATTTCAGTACTTTGTTACATTTATTGATGACTTTTCTCGTTGTACTTGGATCTATTTAATGAAAGATCGGTCTGAACTTTTCAGTATATCTCAAAAATTTGTCAATGAAATAAAAACTCAGTTTGGGGTGGTGATAAAAACCATTCGTCGTGACAATGCCAAGGAGTATTTTTCCGAATCCTTCTCTAATTTCTGGATAGTCATGGGGTCCTTCATGAATCTTCCTGTCCTGACACTCCTTAACAAAATGGAGTGGCTGAACGGAAGAATCGACACCTTGTGGAAACTGCCCGAACCATGCTTATTCATTACAAGGTACCTAAATACCTTTGGGGGGAAGCCATTCTTCACTCTTGTTATCTCATAAACCGCATGCCTTCTGATATACTACAAGGAAAGACTCCTTACAATGTTTTGTTCCCTGATGAACCTTTGCACCAATTACCTTTAAAGGTGTTTGGGTGCACTTGCTTTGTTCGTGATATCACTCCGGGAAGGGATAAACTCTCTCCTAAAGCTATCAAGTGTGTGTTCTTGGGATACTCTCGTCTTCAAAAGGGCTTTCGATGTTACTGTCCTACGTCAAAGCGTATGTATACATCTTTTGATGTCACTTTCTTTGAGTCTACTCCATATTTCTCTCATTCTTCTTCCCTTGACAAATCGAACTTTACTGATGAGTCTACAGAAATTGTCCCTATGCAGCCTTTCAAAGAACATGAACCCGTTCTGCCTGTCCCATACTTTCCTGAACCTGAACCTGCATCCCTGGCCATCCCTGAAAAAGTAACTCCCAGTGACATTCCAGAGAACCATATTATTGAGTTCCCTTATACCTATCACCGTCGACATCGTTCGAGTAAGCCTTACCATCATCCAACAGAAAAAGAAGATAGTAATCCGAGTGATTTATGTGCTGAGCCATCGTCACATCAAGAGTCAGCCCAAGAGATAACTAATGATCTTCCTATTGCCAGCATAATTGGTAAAAGATCCACTCGAAATCCTTATCCTATCTATAACTTCCTCTCATACAATCATTTGTCACCATCATATTGTGCCTTTATTACACGTCTCTCTTCTGTTTCTGTTCCTAAAAGTGTCAAGGAAGCATTGTGTCATCCAGGTTGGGAAAAGGCCATGCTTGATGAAATGGAAGCCCTTCACTCGTCAGGGACATGGGAACTTGTGCCTCTACCACCAAATAAACCTGTGGTCGGCTGCAGATGGTTATACACAGTCAAGGTTGGTCCTACTCGCATGATAGACCAGCTAAAAGCCAGGCTTGTAGCCAAAAGATACACACAAGTGTTTGGAATGGACTATACTGATACATTCTCCCCTGTTGCAAAAATAGCATCAGTTCGCACTTTACTGGCTATTTCAGCAATACGACAGTGGTCGTTACATGAATTGGATATAAAAAATGCATTCCTGCATGGAAATCTAAAGGAGGAGGTTTATATGGAACAACCTCCGGGATTCATTGCTTATGGGGGAGCTGATCTAGTTTGCCGCCTCAAACGCTCATTGTATGGGTTGAAGCAGTCCCCACGTGCTTGGTTTGGACGGTTCAGTGAAGTGGTACAAAAATTTAACATGATTCAAAGTAAAGTTGACCATTCTGTATTTTACAGAATCCAAAAAGGTCTTAATATCTATCTTGTGGTTTACGTGGATGATATTGTGATCACGGGTGATGACGTAGAGGGAATAAAACTTCTTAAGAAGCATTTATTTCAGCATTTTGAAACAAAAGATCTCGGCAAATTGAGATAATTTCTTGGTATTGAAGTTGCACAGTCAAAACAAGGTGTGTACATATCACAAAGAAAGTATGCTTTAGATATTCTTGAAGAAGCTGGTATGACAAACTGTAAGCCAATTGATACGCCGATGGATCCTAATGACAAGCTTCTACCGGGACAGGGGGAGCCTTTATCAAATCCTGGTAGATATAGAAGACTTGTTGGAAAACTTCTTTACCTCACTATTACACGTCCTTCATTTGCTGTAAGTGTTGCATGTCAGTTTTTACAATCACCGTGTGAGAGCCACTGGAATGCTGTTACTCGCATCTTAAGATACATTAAACAAGCACCAGGTACAGGGTTGTTATACCAGAATCACGGACACAGAAATTGTGGGCTATACTGACACGTAAATTTAACATGATTCAAAGTAAAGTTGACCATTCTGTATTTTACAGAATCCAAAAAGGTCTTAATATCTAACTTGTGGTTTACGTGGATGATATTGTGATCACGGGTGATGACGTAGAGGGAATAAAACTTCTTAAGAAGCATTTATTTCAGCATTTTGAAACAAAAGATCTCGGCAAATTGAGATAATTTCTTGGTATTGAAGTTGCACAGTCAAAACAAGGTGTGTACATATCACAAAGAAAGTATGCTTTAGATATTCTTGAAGAATCTGGTATGACAAACTGTAAGCCAATTGATACGCCGATGGATCCTAATGACAAGCTTCTACCGGGACAGGGGGAGCCTTTATCAAATCCTGGTAGATACAGAAGACTTGTTGGAAAACTTCTTTACCTCACTATTACACGTCCTTCATTTGCTGTAAGTGTTGCATGTCAGTTTTTACAATCACCGTGTGAGAGCCACTGGAATGCTGTTACTCGCATCTTAAGATACATTAAACAAGCACCAGGTACAAGGTTGTTATACCAGAATCACGGACACAGAAATTGTGGGCTATACTGACGCAGATTGGGCTGGCTGCCCATGGGATCGAAGATCCACCACAGGTTATTGTATACTTTTGGGTGGAAACTTGATCTCTTGGAAGAGTAAGAAACAAGATGTGGTGGCACGATCAAGTGCAGAAGCCGAATATCGTGCGATGGCTCTTGGATCATGTGAGCTAATTTGGGTTAAGAATCTTCTTTCCGAACTCAATTTCTGCAAATTCAGACCCATGAGGTTGATATGTGATAACCAAGCAGCCCTACACATTGCAACGAATCCAGTTTTTCATGAAAGAACCAAACATATAGAAGTGAACTGTCATTTCGTTAGAGACAAGATCAAATCTGGAGACATCATCACCACTTTTGTGAATTCAAAGGATCAATTGGCAGATGTGCTCACCAAGTCTCTTAGAAGACTGATAACACAAGGGGTGTAGAGTATTTTAATAAAGTGTATGTGAGGAGGGGAATGAAGGGACGGGAGTTTATGTGAGGAGGGGAATGAAGGGACGGGAGTTTATGTGAGGAGGGGAATGAGGGGGCAGGAGTAATTAATGTGCTGGTTTGATTTCTGAATATAAGGAAGGGAGGGGAATA